ATCATAGTTCCTAATCTCACAAGAAAGAGTAACCAGGGGAATAATATTGGTGAATGCCTGTGCTACTATAATTTGGATGTGTGATGGCATCATACAGACCTCTGTTTCACTCTCTGGTCCTAATTATAATCACTCCTGTCTCCTAGTTCATACAAAATACTATGTAAACATTATATAACATGAGGTCCTATAATTTTGAGTCCATGTATGGATATAATATTAATCCATAAATTCTTAATAAAATATAGTATGTGTCTTTTCTGGTTGAGATAGTTTTCCTCAGATTATTAGTGGAATCCATTATCCAACAAAATTTGACAAATACTGCCTTACTATATTATTTCTCACTGTTAGTCCCATTATACTTTGCCCTCAGTCACATAACTTGCAGCTCTCTGAAAGTGTTTGTCCTTTTACCTTTCCATGCCTTTGCTTATTATCTTTATTTGAGCCTGAACTCTTGTTTCTTGTGTATTTGTTCCTTCAGAAATAACATACTCAGAGTCAGTGCAAGCCTACCTCTTCAATGAAACATTTCCTGACAATGAGCCTTAGTTACTAACAATTCTGCCTACTATACTGTGAGTTCTTTGATGGTATGGACTGTGTCTTGCATTCATCTCCAGAGAAAAGTAACAATAAATATTTTTAAATGATTAAAAGAATGACATAATTTCACACTTAGATCTTAAGTATAGAGATTCTTACTGGCTCTCAATACGGTACAATTTTGATTTTGAAAGATCTTGGCAACACCACAAATATCCATATGTTCTCCTTGAGATGCATATGCATATTGTATTCCATGAAAAACCTTAGTATTACATAGGACCTTAAAATAAATGTACAAAGTAAATGAATAAAAATCTTTTGTGGCATATGTTTTGGTCAAATAAAAGAAACCATATCAAACATGCTGCAAAATTGCTTTGGTTCAAGGTGTCATTTTAGATCATATTTCTTGAGCAAAGATAAATGTGATTCTAACAATATCTGGCTTGTAAAATTTATTTTTATTGATGTAGGTTGACTTTTTTATAAACTAAAAGTTAACAGTTTAAAGAACTCTTTGGCATGCAAGTGACACAGCAGCTAAGAAAAGAGTCATATATAATATTATCCAGAAGAGTAGATGTTTCATATGTTTCTTCTTGATACACAGTCATATAAATGATTTTTAATGTTCATAGTATGATAAGCTAATTTTTCCTTTTGTCATAGAAAAATAAAAGATTTGGTTCTTCTCTAAAGTGTCATTTCTGATACAAGAAATCAAGCGTAGATATCAATGTATCCGTCTATATAATCGAATTACTTTATTACAATCATCAGAAATTTGCTTTAGTTAGGTTAAACAAAAGAATATTCACTTTTGGAAGACCATCAGGTCTTCTGTAAGACAAAAGGCTAGATAACCAAGTCTAGAAAGTGAATAGACTCTGCCTCTGCTTTCTATGCTATTGCCACTGTCACACTTTATACAATGTAGGGAATAATTTTTAACTCTCCTTTGACTCAAGCCTGAAGACTTCAAGTCTCCATTTGACCCAGCTTGGTGGAGGGCAGGGATAGGAAATATCTGTTCTTAATTTTACTTGTGGGAGTTAGGAATTAAGTAAGATTTCTCAATACATTTTTTTTAATGTTGAGAAATGGGTAGCCCTCACATGTAACAAATATCACTATACATTTTTGTTAGGCTAAAAATCCCAGTGGGGCCTCCAAAATTTTAGGTCAGACTCAATGTGGGGTATCTATGATCTGGTGCTACATGAAAGATGCAAAGAATTGCACAGAAGTTAGATTGGAAAATATAGTTTATTTAGAAAGTAAATTAGAGAGAGAAAAAGACAGATTTATGTTCCCAAGGTAGTGGAGTGGACCAAAGCTAGGAAGTATGTTTGTCACAGCTCAAAGAGCCACATGGACACATCAGAGTTTAACAAAACAATAGCAAGTGGCTGCTTGAAATCAAGTGCCTTTAGACCTTCCCTTTGATGAAGGCAAGTAGTTAAGGTGATTGGGTGATGGACTTTTCCACATCATAACAAAGGGGACAGGTAAGCACAGGTACTGATGTCACCATGATGCACAACAGGCAGATGAGTGGGTTAGTCACATGATTGCTGTCATATTGATGGGGTCTGTGTCATGAAGGTCACAAAAGGCTAATTAGGTTAACTTGTTTACAAAACAATCTGGGAAGGGGGTTGTAAGACAATTATCAATAGCTACCTCTGAGAAATTGGTTCTGTCCTTAGAAGACTAATGATTAGAGGGAAAATTAAAGTAAATTGTAAGAAAAACATGACAAAGCTAAGCAATGTTAAAATGACTGCTCATTGGGTATATTGACTCCATGTTATATCCGTTCAATATTTAATCCATTGGGAAATGAAACACAATGGTTATTTTGGTTCTTTTTAATATTTAATATTTGACACTCTTTCTATGTTAATCTGGTATGAAAAGTGATAGTTGTGAGAGGATTTATTCTTTTATTTGCTCTTAATTTGCACAATATATGTAAATGTACCATGGAAGTAATTAACAAAAATAATATGTTGGTATAGTGTATAGAGTCTTGGTGTATATAAATCATATTGTTTTCTATAGGATCAGATCTGATCATTTTAGAATTTATAATTTTAAAAAAGATTAATAGATATAAATATTTTGTGGCCGGGCTCGGTGGCTCAGCCTGTAATCCCAACACTTTGGGAAGCCAAGGTGAGTGGATTGCCTGAGCCTGCGGGTTCGAGACCCACCTGGGCAACTTGATGAGACCTCATCTCTACAATAAATCAAAATAAATAAATAAATAAATAAATAAATAAATATTTTGTTTTATTTTCCCCTGAGTCAATTGCAGGGTAATTTTCTGCAGAAACTTCAGAAAACAGTTTGTCATTTGTTTAGTGAGAAAATATAACTGCATACAGTGATCCTGTGGTTTGACACTTATCCATAAGGTAATAACAACAAAATAAGTGCCAATGATTATAGTTTAGGATATGAAATAATTTCTCATAGAACTGCTGAGGTCAAACCAAATCATCAAGAATAGTGTCAAGAGGTGCCAATAAGATGGAGACATAAAAATACAAAAGAGTGTAAAAATACTAGCGGGGTATCCCTACTGAAACTCCAGGAACATGATAATTTTTAAAATGATCCAAAAAAGCCAGGCTCGGTGGCTCAGCCTGTAATCCCACGCTTTTGGGAGGTTGAGGTGAGTGGATTGCCTGAGCCCGCGGGTTCAAGACCCGCCTGGGCAACTTGGAGAGACCTCATCTCTACAATAAATCAAAAAATCACCCGGGCATGGTAGCGTGCGCCTGTAGTTCCAGCTATTCAGAAGGCTGAGGCGGAAGGATCGCCGGAGCCCAGCAGGTTGAGGCTGCGGTGGCCAGGAGCGGCCACTGCACTCAAGTCTGGGCGACAGAGTGAGACTCCAACTCAAAAAAAAAAAAAAAAAAGATTAAAAAAAAGTTAAGAACGTTTGCAGATAATATATATCACAACTACTATTAAAAAGTTATTAGTTGGCCGGGCGCAGTAGCTCACGCCCATAATCCCAGCACTTTGGGAGGCTGAGATGAGAGGAGTGCCTGAGCCCATGGGTTCAAGATCAGCCTGGGTAACTTTACAAGCCCTCATCTCTACAATAAATAAAAAAATTAGTCAGATGTGGTGGCACATGCCTGTAATTCCAGCTACTTGTAAGGCTAAGGTGGAAGGATTACCTGAGATCAGCAGGGCGAGAGTGCAGTGGCCATGAGCAGGTCACTGCACTCCAGCCTGGGCTACAGAGTGAGAGGCGACAGAGTAAGTCTCCAATTAAAAAAAAAAAGTTACTAGTCTAGAATGGGAACACTAAGAGAAATTACAAAGGCAAAGGTGGACAACGGCTTATAGAACACATACCACTTGAAACAAAGATTTTAAAGTAAAAACTATATCAAAATTCAAGGTACAATATACTACTTTAAACATTTTAAATAAATAAACAAAAGATAATATTCTTTTGTTTTTGAACAGGGTCTTGTTCTGTCATTCAGGCTGAAGTACAGTGATGCAATCATAGCTTACTTCAGCCTCAAATTACTGAACTCAAGCAAAGCTCCTGCCTCAACCCCTTGAGTTACTGGGACTGCAAGCACACACTACCACACCTGGATAATTTTTTGTTTTAATTTTTTGTAGAAATGAGTGAAAGGTGCAGAGAACAGTCAGAAGGGCATCCCCAAGATGGCGCTGGCTCACAAAACAACAAAGGGCCTAAGCTCCGGCTTTTCCTGTGTGCGCGAAACTTAAACCTGTGCTCAAACAACCTCTCCCTATAGGAATACTACCTCATGGTCTCCTTCAATAAGACCCAAACATGGCACTGACCAGCTCCTGCAAGGTCCATAAATACACCCCCTCCCCTGCATAACTCTCTCTTGCTTTCTCTCTCTGTCCCCACCACTCTCTTGCTCTCTCTCTCTCTCTCTCTCTCTCTCTCTCTCTCTCTCTCCCTCCCTCTCTCTCTCTCTCTCTCTCTCACTTTTCCTCAGTTACAGTCCCTTCCTATAACTGCCCCTTTAATAAATCTCTTGGTCTTAGCCGGGTGTGGAGTCATCACTGGCACCGAAATCCTTTCAATGGGAGTCTTGCTGTGTTGCCCAGGAAGGTCTCGAACTCCTTGCCTCAAGTGAGCCTCTGCCTCAGCCTCCCAAAGCACTGGGATTACAAGTGTGAGCCACTGCAACTAGCCAAGATTAATATACTTAATGCATAGAAAATGTTTATATATCAACAACTTCTTAAGATCCTAATATATGCATGGGAAAAGGACATAATTATAGTCAACAAAGAGGAAATAATTAATGCAAATATCACATATATGCAAATATCAACATATGTATAAATCCCCCAACATTTTAATAATTAAATAAATGCAATTAAAAACACAACATTTCACTTTAAAAACATTAAATTGTTTTTTTCTTTTTCTGACAAGTGTAATCAATTTATTAAAATACTTGACTCAAGCATCAGCAATAGTGACTTCAACCTCAACTCCTGGCTCAATACTGATGGAAGTAATCTGCTTGACAGTCTTGGAAGAACTGTGCAAGTAGATGAGTCGTTTGTGGATTCTCATCTGGAAGTGATCCCATGTCTTAGAACCTTCACCACAAGTAGTTTTTCTTGTAGTGATTCTCAAAGTCTTGGTAGGCATGAGAAGCAGTCCTTTCACTTTGAGTTTCTTTTCCTTTGCACCTCTGATCAGGATAGCACACACTTTCTCCAGATATTTTATGTTGCGGCTGGTGAGGGTGATTCTAATTGGGTGGATTGCCACCTCCGGCTCCATGGGTGTCTTGCCGGTGTCTGGTATTATAATCAAAATGATGTATATTTTTACTACTACATTTTGTTTTTAATTTTTTTTTAGTTGGAGACTCACCCCGTCACCCAGACTGGAGTGCAGTGGCCGCTCCCAGCCACCGCAGCCTTGACCTGCTGGGCTCCAGCGATCCTTCCGCCTCAGCCTTCCAAGTAACCGAAATTACAGTCATGTGCTACCACACCCAGCTGATTTTTTGATTTATTGTAGAGATGAGGTCTTGCTGCCCAGGTGGGTCTCGAACCCACAGGTTCAGGCAATCCACTCACCTCAGCCTCCCAAAGGCACGGGATTACAGGTTGAGCCACCGAGCCTGGCTTGAAATATAGCTAAATTGATTAATTTTCCAAAAATAAAAAAATAAAAGCCATGGCTGCGTGCAGCTTCCTGACTGACTTGTTCCTAGTGAGAGCAAACAGCAGTGAGCAGGAGTAGGAACGCGAAGGACCACAGTTCCACAGCACCCACGTCCTCGAAGTCTTAAAAAGAAAAGCATCAAAATTTTTAAGTGATAATATGCATTGTTCAAATAATAACAGAGTATTTATCAACTCTTATAGAAACCCAAAGTAACATAAGTTTTTTAAAGGGTAATATGACTAGATATTAAAGCAATAATATACATAAACTTGAACTCAAAATTTGAATTATAGATGTTTGTATTAAATTATAATAGAAAAATACTGTTACTTTCTGCATTATTTATATCAGTAAAAAAAAAACTAATGCTAAAATGTTCAGCAAAAAAAAAAGAACCAAATATGCTATAATTAGATTTAAAATTTTGACCATTAAAAATATCTGTGAGGTGATTTTTAGCTCCAACATGTAAAGATCTTATAAATAGTCACTCCAAGATGGACTACAACCAAAAACAAGCCAAAAACTGAAAATCAGTGACTTTTCTTGGATCCATCAGAACACTGAGATTGCAGGGCACACTAACTCCCTGAAATCTGAAGAGACAGGTTAATCCAGAAAGCCACAACTGAAATATGTTTACCAGGCACAATTACTGGACCCACAAAATGGTAAAAACACTGCAATGGTAATTTTGGCCAATTTCTTTAGAGTGAGTGTAAACTAGTATGATAGTAAGAAATTTCTGGGGGTCTCAGTCTTGATGAGCTGGGATGGCAAAACTTTCAAGTTTTACCTTCAAGAAACCCACTTCATTCTCAGAGATAAAGATCTGAGAAACAGCTTCTTTTGTTTCCAACAGGGAAGAAGAAAGACAAATCATTCTGAAATGCTTCCAGATAATTATTCATAACAAATGCTTCCAGATAATTATTCATAACTCTCCTGGGAAAATACTTTATCAGAGCTTTGTCCCAGAGCAATGGGGATTGGATATTTCTCTTATTCCAGCTCCTTTTAGCCTATATATTTCACCTAAATTCAGGGGTGGAGTAAAAAATTAGCAAGGAATAAACACTTGTAAAGGTCACAGATTATAGAGACACGGACTCACTAAAAGACTGAGACTTAACTGAAAAATTATGAATAATTCCAACTCCTACACCTTACCACACCACCAACCAGGCTTCAACAAAATTATAGTGGATTATAACAAAAGGAGCTAAAAGACACAGACTAACTAGGAGTATTTAAGGAAGACCAAAGTCAAAGCAGAAGTCAAACTCAAGTACACTGGAAAAATCTGAAGCTTCTGGGAAGTACAACTGCAGCAAATATTAAACATGACAAACTCCTTGGCAGACTGGGAAGAGACAAAGACAGCACTGAATCTGATTTGGGTACACACAGATTTAGAAATAACACAAGAACGTTTAAATGACTATGACTAGTATGCTAAGGGCTCTAATGAAAAGTAGGCAACATATAAGTAAAGTTGTGCAATGTTATTAATAAGAACACTTCTAAGAAAGAATCAAAAGGAAATACTAGAAATAAAAGGATTCTGTAGAAATGGAAAAGTTATGTGGTAAGCTCATCAATAGATTGGACATAAAGAAAGAATTAGGAAGGCTGAGGCGGAAGGATCGCCAGAGCCCAGCAGGTCAAGGCTGTGGTGACCGGGAGTGGCCACTGCACTCCAGTCTGGGCGACAGAGTGAGACTCCACCTCAAAAAAAAAAAAAAGAAAGAATTAGTAAGCTTTTGGTAGGTCAATAGAAACTTCATATACTTAAATACTATTTTAAAAAATTATGGCAAGTCATTGTTTTGGACAGTTTGCCCATGTTTTATTGGGTTTTAATCTTAATATTAAGCTGTATTCTGTATACAAGTTTTTAGCAAGTATATATATAATCATTTATTTATCAAATGTATCTACAAATATACATATCTATATACCAAAGTATTTTGTTAGTCTGTGGCATGCTTTTTTTATTTGCTCTTTGGTGTCTTTCAAAGCAGAAAATTTTACTTTTAATTTTAATGAAGTCTAACTTACAAATTTGCCATATTATTCTTGCACTCTATAATAAATCCTAAAAACTATTAATCATGTTTTCTTTCTCATTTTTTAAATTATTTAAATTATTTTAAATTATTTAATAATTTAATATTTTAAATTACTTAAATTATTTTTGATCCTTTCAATTTTCACATAAATTTTAGAATCGGTTTATTTCTACCAAAAAAAGCATGCTGAAATTATGAATAGGATTATATTCAATCCATAGGTTCAATTGGGGGAGTATTAATATTATAAAAACACTGAAATTTTCAATGTGCAAACATGAGATATTTCATTATGTGTTATGTCTTCTTTAATTTCTCTGCAATGTCTTGAATTTTTCATTGAATGGCGCTTGAAATATTTTGAAATAAAATAAGTAGTATTTTATGTTATCAACCTAAAATAATCAGAGAGGTCATGATTCAGTTTTAAAAGTTCCTGCTTATATAATCAGGAAAAAAATCATAACAGGATTACAACAATTTTAATACAAGACTGATCTAGCGGGGCTCAGTGGCTCAGCCTGTAATCCTGCGCCTTTGGGAGGCTGAGGTGAGTGGATTGCCTGAGCCCGCAGGTTCG